CAACCTTGCAACAAAAAATCAGTATGATGCAAGGCCGTGCGAAAACTTTAAATTATGAAAAAAAAAGGCTAAATAATGTAATGTTAACATATCTAAAAATCAAAGTTGTACTTTGGGATACTTATAGTTAGATTTTCCTATTGAAATTGAGAATGTTAAGAAAGGTGATGTCTTTTTGGCATTACCTTTTTTAATATTTCACCCTATATAAATTGATCAATCAAAGTAAAAAAAAATAGCTCCTACCTTTAATAATATTGGCCATTTTTCAGATTTCCAAAATTAACTTTATCCTTAGTAATATGGCAGAATATAGATTGCACACAAATGTAAAAATTATTTATCCTAATTAACCCTAAATTTAATCAAACTTCACAACTAAATTCACGACACGAATGTTGACAAATGTTAAAAACAAAGATAATTTTCTTGTTATGGGATACTCACAAAGAGTTGAGCGTTTCAAAGGTTATTAGATTAATCAATTGTTTTTTGCCGCCTAAGATATAGGGATCGGAATCTCTGTGCGACGTCCCAGATCTAGATCTACATAAAGCCCACCAATGACCCCAATCCCAATCGCTGGGAATCTGTTTCGCCAGATTGATTCTTCTGCAAATACTTCAGCTGCTACAGATCTACAGGTTTTACGTGGACATTAAGGAGATGATTAAAAGGGAGGCAAATCACACCTTTTATGACACAAAGCACACAACTTCCGGGCGCCACCAAAATACTAGCTAGCAATTTATTGCTATTATTTTCTTATTGATATGTACACATAAAAATTTGGAAAGAAAGAGCTGGTTATTTTACTTGCCAAATTTCTTGCAATTTCGTAGTAGACACGTTGCAAAATTTACATGAAAAAATATCGTGTCCACCGGGCTTAATAATAATAGACAAGTTGAATTTCGAAGTCAACGAATCATTCCAATATCGAAGAAAACTAACCAAAGAACATACGAACGGTCATTCGAGTGATATTAGATTAGTCATTCATTAATTCATGCCAGTATATTAGTTATATGTGTAAAGTATCAGACTATCAGATCTATATTCACACCAGCGCAGCATCCATGTCAATCCATAACCAAACTCATAGATGACGCGACGTTAGGCGTTCCTGTGGGTGATCTATCCGACAGGAAATGTCGCATGCTAGAGGATGTTGATTTTTAACCGATCACTGTGTCATCCCTGACACACGCGTTACCCCTCAGAGCTACCTATTATAGAAATGCCGCGCGGTACCGGCGTTCTTGGTGCAAAAAAAAACTGAAAAGCTCATCAAACAGGTGAGGAAGTACAATTATCTATTTGATACCTCTCACCGCTACGCAAATGTACTGAGCAAGGCGGAAGCTCGGAGTTAGATTGACAGAGAATGGGAATCGTAAGTAAGTACAACAGTTTACCCATATGTATAACTTAAAAAAACGGGTTCTAACCGGTTTGTTGTAATTATCTCAATACTAGACTGCACTAGATCGTGCAGTTCCTCAAAATTTTGTTTTGGGATTGGGAAGTGAATAAAAAAGAGAGCGCAGCTTTCTGCGCACACGGTAGTGTTCACCCAATTCTTCCCACTTTTGAATTTCCGTCTTCTCCTAATAACTCTCAATTAAAGCAAGAAGAAGCAAAACTTTATCGTTCGAATTACCCACGAATGCTGTATAAAGTCAACCACAGAACTGGATCGCTCGTCCAGATAACGCTGCGTGTGTGACGTAGTGAATATAGCCTAACGCCGCGTTGGGGGGCGTTCCATCAGCGATCCGTTATAACGCGTTCTGTGTGTTCGAGCTTTAACCGCTAGGCCACTGATAAATTTCAGTCATATAACTACTAGGGATATAGAGACTTTGTCTATGCCGATACTACAGGAACTTATGAAGTAAATATGTACGAGGTTAGCGCCAAAATTTCCCGGCCTGACATAGATGCAGCTCCAGTATCACGATAAAACTTTGTCTTTTGAATATGTATCTTAGTAGGCTGCGAAAAAAAAAAAGAAGTATTGCGTCAGATAGATTTTTATTGACAGCATTTTAAACAAGACGTGTCCGAAAAAATGTAGCACATAACGAAAAATGGAGCAGTCATAAAGTTTTTGACAAAAGAAGGGTTAGCACCTAAAATTATTAAAGAAAGGCTGGATTGTGTGTACGGACAAAGTTCTCCTTCGTATTCTGTAGTGAAAGAATGGGCAAAACGTTTTCGAATGGAGTCTCTTGATGATTCAAGAACTGGTCGACCAGTGGAGGTCATAACGGAAGATATTGTTGCGATTGTGAAAGAGGTGGTATTGAGTGATCGACGTTTGAAGGTCAAGGAAATCTCAGAAATTACTAAGCTTTCTGATACAAGTGTTCGTTGAATCCTGCATGATCATTTAGGTATGCATAAGGTTAGTGCAAGATGGGTTCCTAAAAACCTTTCGGCTATTCAAAAACAACGTGTCGAGTGTGCGCGGTTTTTTTTGGAATTCTGTGGGTCGGAACCGAAGCCTGTGATAGAAACTATTGTGACGGGAGATGAAACTATGGTTCTCTATTATGACCCCTATCGAAAAAAGAATCAATGGAGTGGCGTCGTAAGGGTGAAGAACCTCCAAGAAAATTCAAAGTCTGTCAGTCAACAAAAAAGGTGATGGCCACGATCTTTTGCGATTCTGAAGGGATTGTTTTGATAGATTTTAAAGAAACTAATACCACTGTCAATGATAAATATTACGCAACATTATTACATAAATTGCGAGACTGCACAGTTTAAAACGTCGAGGAAAACTGACCAGAGGCGTGCGTCTTTTGCACGATAATGCACCTGTCCATACTGCACAAGTGTTGCACAAGCTGCAATTTTAAAGTGTGGGTTCCAACAGATAGATCATCCCCCCTATAGTCCAGTCCTCCAGGAGGAATCCAGAAGTTTTGAAAAAATCATTACAGAAGCCTGTGGAAGTTTCTTTGAAAAACTAAGTCATAATTTCATAAATTCTTCACTTGACTGTACATTATAATACATTATAACGTTTTTACAAAAGAAAGAAGGTATTTAGATAGGGTGCGATTACATTTAAAAGTTACATTCCCCTAATTCAAACAACGTGAGATACACATCAACCGAAACGTTGAGATCCAAACAAGTGGTTTTATTAACTCGTTGCCTACTTCTTTTAAACAATGGCAATGTGTGTCTAATTGGCTGTTTTCCTCCTATATTAAATCACTAAATAGACTTTAAGTGTATTATTGAATCAAAATGAATTGCTGTTTGTAGTCATATGTACAAATGTTTATATGTTTATGTACAATATAATATGCCATATATGCTGGTAGCACAAGAACAGACCATCTTTACGAAATTTAAAAAAGATGTCAAAATATGGATGTTTGAGACTGGCAGACGACTTTTTGATGACCTCATTAATTAAAAATATCAAAGGTAAATAAGATTTGAATTATATTTAATCAAGCATAGTTTTTTTTTTACCTAAATCCTAAATTATGTATATTCATTTGCCTAATGAGTTAATATTTTTACCCTTGTTTTATTTTTATTTTTGCTTACATGTATGAGTAGATATTATATTACTATAAATGTAACAAGCAATTATTATTATTAAACTGGTGTGTCACGCATAAGCATTTCGCAATGCTTCAGTGAAACAAAACATTTATTCCACTTAAATCAATTTATAGATTATGTTATTGAAAAGCTTAAATTGAAAAAATGTTATTACTATTTTTATTATAATGACTCCTTCAATACGTTCGAGTTTAGAAAGTGATTTTTTTGTTTACTATGGCAGTAAAATCTCGCGGTGTTAGTTTATCTTAGTTTATTTGAGTTTTAGAATTGAAAATATTTGCATTTTACACCTGACTATTCAACCTCAAACATTTCGAGACCTCCAAGGAAAATAGACTTAGTTATAGTAAGACTCTTACTTGATAAGTGAATATGTAGAATCGTTTTCGGTTCGTTTTAAAACTCATATTTCAATCACTAAATTTATATTATATAAAAATATATAAAATATTATATTTGGCTATTATATCAATTCTATTTTAAAATGACATTTTTGTCTACCTAAGTATTTTAGTTTTTTAAAGCAACGTCATTTTTTTTCTATGAAGTTATACTTTTTTTTTTAAAAAACAAACGATCTTTGACTTTGTAATAACTGTGTTCAGAAATAAATAATACTTATTCTTTTAAATATAAGAAGTGCTTTAATTAAACTAACCAAAACTAACCCAAAGCACAACACACGACTGTTTCATGCGCTGTAACACGAAGTAATCAAATCCATTTCCTTACCTTAATTAAATTGATTCATGATCTCATGTGATTAATAGTAAAATAATTAACATATAGTGCCAATTTATTATTTTAGTTCAAACTTGAAGCACTGTTGATCTCTCACGAATATTGAAAATATTGAACCTTTAAGCAACAGTTCTTACATTTCCACGCCGATAAATAATTCAGGCGTATTGGGAAAAAGGGGCATTGCGTTTGAATTTTATTTTCTTTGACAAACCGCACACTGTAATCAAACAATATTAAAAATTAAACATGTGTTATGAATGCGAGAAACGGCTCGAATGGATACTAGAAGACTTGCCAATATCGAAACAGAACCGGCTTAAATTTGTGAAAACTTGCACTAGGGAGAAGAAGAAGCTTAATGCTATCAGAACAATATTATCCTACAGATTAATTAAAAATAAAATAATTATGTTTAATGAGCAATTGTGTAATGTTGAGGTCGTGCGTAACCTTGAGAAACAGAATTCTATTCGGCTGCCTGCCTATACTCCGTTTTTTCTGATTTACCGAAAAATGAATAAATATTATTTGTCCCACCTCCTAATTCATTTTTTATGAGTTCACATGCTTGGTATATTGTCGCAACAATGCAAATTGCCGAAAACTATCGGTGGTTGAAAAATATTTTCAGATACGCCAAAAAGTCTTAAATAAAAATTACTTGAATAAAGCTAAACCTTAAAAAGTAGGTGTTTTTTTGGTAAATTTACTCGGCCGATTTCAGAGAAAAATTTCTGGCGCAGACCATATTTTTTATGGTCTTCTTTAGCCAACTTTAGAACATACTTTTTTAATGTGACGAATGACTTTGCATTTTTATCTGGCTACCCTGTACGTGAAATTGAAATGAAATTATCTATCTAATAGTTAAGATTACGTCATGTCCTGATTCTATTTGATTTCCAATGTGCACCCTGGATTGCAAGTATGTTGTAAAACTGTATTTGACTTTGGTCCTAAGAGTCCGACCCTGCTCAATAACCTTAATATTTAAATCCTAGTTTCATGATATAAACGTGTCTTTCTTCTGTCCAACTGAGAGTCGGAAAGCAACAGAGTTAAAAACTAGTGAAGGTGATTTTAAATTTGAATATATTCTATTTAAGTGCGTATCTATAACTAGACAGATCTCACAGTGAATTGTGCTAAGCATACATAGTTACTTGCAAGCAGTTGGATGAATTAAATTGAAATGTATTATCCTCACTAACTTACAGTCAAGCTTATGCAAAACGGAAATTTGGTCATTAACATAAGTGACCCCTCTGCTCTTCAAAAAAGTAGCATTTAATGGAACGCAGTGTAATTTTTTCTATATATATGAATAGTAGTAATTTTTAAAAGTCCCATGCAGTAGTTCCTTGTAGAAAAGCTTTTTTGCTGAGGTACACAGGGATATTTAAAATTTGCAATAATACCTGACCGCAAAAAATCCAATCCATCCTTAATCCAATATTGTAAAACTGTAGAGGATACATATAAGACTTGTATTAACGAGGTATTAGTAGATATAATACCTGCGTTCAACAGCAATTTCGGCCGTTTTTACACGTAAATTCCCATAAGAAAATTTAAGGTTCATTGTAGTTGAAATTGGTCCCGGTCAAGGTCATTCGATCCATACCCTCTTAGCACCAACTAACCGTCTCCCTCAACCCCAACCCCCTCCCGCAACCCCTCTCAAACCCTCCCACAACCGTCACCCCCCACCACCCCCCCAACCCTCACACCCCCATTTCACAACCCTCTCACAACCACTCAACAGATGTGTTAGTCAGGTGACTCACCTTTTTTTCGCGTCTACCGAGGATCGAACCCGGGATCCGTCGCTTGTCGACCGCAGACTTTAACGCCGAGCTAACGAGCATATTAAAACCAATGTGTAATTATGTGTTTGATCTCGAGAATGATGACTCATCTTATTCCTGCCGAAGATCGAACCCGAAATTCGTCCGTCGTTGAACGGTCACTTTAATGCCGAGCTAATTATGTACCGCCGGTTCCGTCTCGTTGCTGCTAGATGTCGTGCGTGCGCGCTCTTGACAGTATTCCTATCAGCGGCTGCGTCACCCCGGCAGGTGACGGAGACGCTAGGACGGGATGACGCGGTGATCGGGAGTATAGGATCGACGGTAAACAAGTCGAGTGAGTTATACATAGTGCCTTAATAATCAGGTACACCCGGTGTGTTCAAGTTTAATTAAAGAAAACTATATACAATAACAAATATTTATCCAGAAGGGTCTTCTTCTTCTTCTTTTGCGTCCACTTTGTCGTCCATAAACGATGTTCCTGCTGATGACGTTCTTGTTCCCGTTCTTTCAAGAAATCTATATAGGAAATACACTCCTCACCGTCTCCCTCTGTCGACCACCCACCCTGCTGGATGCGCCAACATAATGTGTGTGAAAGTTGCACACACATACCAACATTCACATTTCTACTTCTTGTCATTTAAAAGACATTAAAAACACTATATACTTCAATTTAATTTGATTATTTTTACAAGTAAAAACGCGGATTATTGTCAAACGGAGAAATCGTGTTTTTTCTAGAACAAACAAGAAACAAAATATGTATATGTCGCGTTGCCTATAAAACAGATTTTTTAAACAAAACTTTTAGTAAGTGACGTAAGTAAAGTCACATTTCTATTCCCTGTCATTTAAAGGATATTTAAAAAACACTATATATTTCAATTTAATTCGATTATTATGCAACGTAAAAAGTGGATTATTATATTGTAAAAACAGGTAGGAACTGACCAAAAAAGTGATCATTGTTTTTTTTTGTTATTCAAAAATCACTGAGAAAATTAACGAAAACTGAAACCCACAAAAACAAAACAAAAAAAAAGACTCGCACTGTATTAGGGTAAATTAAAATCATAAAACTTATCAGTTGTAGAGTCATAGGGAAATAGATACCGCACTTGACATTGCACTGAATATAGTCTACAATACACATTAAATATATTTATTCACATGTTCTCCCGTCCATGGTTAAATTAAAAATTAAAAATTGACTTAAAAATCGAAAGGCACACAAACGCATATTTGAATAAACACGCTGAACGTATGTTGTCACCAGAGAGCCATGCAGGTGGGAGTCTCAAGGTCCACGTGCTCAGACGGGAACGACTTGACGCACAACCGCCTCGGACGTGCAGTCTCCCGCATGCAATTTTAAAGCGTGTCGACTTTCACTTGACGTAATTTGGCAAAAAAAATTAACACCCAACAAAATTACTGATAGCACACGCAAATATATTTTGCGCCTTAAAAGCAAAGGCGATCCATCCGCCCACTAGGATATCACCGCACCGTAGTCTCTTATCTGCGGTTGCGAGGCATTGACATCGCAAATTGGTTCGAGATAAAGTTGAATATATTGAAAAATTGAATCCAATAGCACATTTAATCTTTAAATAAATGTCTTCTAGATTGATAAACACTTTTTCAAACTAGGCATTTTGCAAATCGGTCGTCTGTTTGCTGTTAACGGTAGACACGTACTATAGGTACTGGTTAGTTGCAAAATTAAAAACCAAATTTACAGGAGTCAAACTGTTTATTGACAGTGGAAAATATAATAAAAGTAGTTGGAGGTAATAAGCGAAAAATATTAAGGACTTCCGGTCATTTTTATTCTAAATATGCCCAAAATATAATGAAAAAGATCAAAATATTTAATGCATTTTTAAAATAAAAATTTAACGAGGCTGCCAGACGCGAACTGAGCCCTTAAGCGCACCTCATTCGATTTTTTTAGGAAAAAAACGAAATTTCAAAGCAAAACCGAAAACACATTTATAATCAAGCGGAGACAGTTTCTTCTTCCATAATCGAATAGTGACCCCACGGTAACGTTTCTACTGACGACTTTGATATGCGACGTTTATCATCGCAAGGACTTAACCCGATCTTCTTTTGGGATACTGTGTGCAACTCCAGTTTGCTCGCTCTTATTAAATTCTGCGATATGTTTTTTTCAGCGAAATTTTGCAAACAATCGACGAAATCTTCAAAAGTTATCTTAGTTTTGATGAAGGATTTTTTAACTCCTTTGATCCTCTTCGTTACACCCAAGTTTTTAAATTCACGTTCAAATGCTTCTCGATCTGTTTCTGCAGCCATCAATTCTTGTTTTGCGGACTCCTCTTCCTCCGGTGTCTTGTATAGCTTTGTGGCGTACATTTTAGCTCTAAGTCCGATAAAATGAGACATAATTCGTCCATTGTTCTCATCCTTCATCATACCCAGAACCTTTTTATTGACTGTGGGTATACCGTACGGATTATCCTCCGCATAGTCCGATGTATCAAAATACCGGAAACAATCCTTTTTTAAAATCTCGTACGGGTCTATGGATAATATCTCGTAAACAAGAGAATCCGTGTCGGTATATAAAACTCGGGAATTGGAAAATCTTTCTTGAATGTAGTTGTAGTGAAAGTCATAAATTGTTGTCTTGGCTATCTCCATAATTGACATCCCAACGTAGATAGGTTTGTTAAAATATATTTCAGATTTTTTTAATTCAATAAGAACGAGATTTTTACTAATTATAGTTGCACTTTTAAATTCGGGTCGGGCAATCAGAGCTTCCGCACCGTAGCGACCTTGCCAGTTTTTCACAAGCTTAACTTTGGAATGGTTCCGTATGTTTTCCATTGTTTTTCCAAACACAGCATTGATCATCAATTTAAACAAGTTCTTTTCAAACTCGTTTTTGGCAGCCTGACGTAGTGCAATGTTTAGGTCGATATAGGCTTTTAACCAAGGCGACTGGCTGAACGAGACGGCTCGATGTACCTTTCTTAACTTAGCTCCCAGTTGTAGCGCCTGTTTCAGATTACGATAGTGAATGACATACTCCTGTTTGTCGTATAAGGTGGTCAGTAATTTTTGATTTTCGGATCCTGGAGGGCAGCGATGTTCGGGACATGGAGGTAAATCTGCAAATTTGTCGTGCAACTCCTTGGGTATTTCCAAATCGACCTCCAAGATGTAGCCGACGTCCGACTCGTTGGATATATTTAAAATGTCAAGATTTTCGATTTGCTGTTCATCCAACCAATTAAAACCTCCGTACGGTAGGTATTGAGACATTGCCCACCCGTATTGGTTATTGACGTCGAAATACATCAAGTATTTATCAACTTTGGAGGGATCGTAGCTGTGCATATATTTGTTGTTGGCTTCCGCATATCGTTTGGAGCACTGACTAAGGCCTCCTCGCATTCCTTTCTCGATAAACAAAATCATGTCGACGTCAGTGAGTAGATCGAGTTTTTGCTTCAATTTATACAACATACAGCTCCACGCGTATCCCGGCAGTGTGTACGCATGTGCAGGATCAAGTCCATAGGTCTTATGTGACGTTTCTCGAAACCTCTCAAAAACGTCTGCCAAGAGCAGGATGTCCGTCTTCATATAAAGTTCAGAATAATCCTGCAAATTTCGACATCCAAATTTCTCCCAGACTTCCTGAGCACGTTTGTAATCTTTTTTGGTCAACGGTTTGTCATCCAATATGTTATAAAATGCCGAAATAGGAGGCAAAACAGTTTCTTTCAACGTATTCCATCCATTCATATAATCGTAGGGGAAAACGCCTTTTTGTTTCAATATATTGGCTTGCTCCTCCGACAATTCACTAAATTCGAGCTCCAGTATTGGATATTCCGTTAAATTAGCCGCCAGCTTATCCAGGCCACTCGACATAAATCGAAAACTGTCGATGAATCGGAATTTCACCAGGTTGTCATTTAGGTGCCACGTAAAGGAAATATACTTTTCCTTGTTTACAGGTAGCAAGTCGATCGACCCATCACATTTGGCTAGAGCTTTTATTATTATATTTCCGTCATACGACGAAAGATTATGAAATACTACGGGAACGGTGTGACCATCCCTAAATTGGAGATTACAATTTTCGTGTGCGGGTCCCCTGTATTTCCCAGTCAGGTGACAATGGTCTCGAACTTTTTTGTCGTCTTTTTCAAACACCTTCTCGCATATGTGACACAATTTAGACTTGTAAAATTCCATTTTTTGTCCAGCTGTTAGTTC